TGTAATGTATTCAGTTGATGATAAGCTACCATAGTGTGTGGAGTTGCTACCATTGTGCTATCATCGTTGGATGGATCTGCTACCATCATGGTTTGTGAACCAGAGTGAGTTTGTTATTCTAACCAACTACTGTTTGTGTGGTAAGAAGATTTTTGTTTTTTCACTATAAAGTAAACTTTTGATAAACCAGTTTGCACATCTCTTATTCATTGCTCTCAGCAATGTTTCTCTGTGCTCTACACTCTGCTGGTTGGTAACACAACAACAACAATATCAATAAAGAGCCTTGGTAGTACAGAGGTTTAAGGCACCCTGTTATTAAGCTTATTAAGACCAGCTGCCTGCAATTACTGCAGGGTTCGAATCTCGCCAAGGCTCAAGGTTGACTCAGCCTTCCATCCTTTCTAAGGTAGGTGAAATGAGGACCCAGTTTGTGGGGGCAATAAGCTGACTTTGTATAAATATACAAAAGGATGAAGGCTATTGCTGAGCACATTGTAAGCCGCCCTGAGTCTTCGGAGAAGGGCGGCTTATAAATCAAATTAAAAAAAAAAAAATCCTTAACACACTTTATTCCTATTACAGCACAGGATGGCCAAGTTTTCCCAAGGACAGATATGGTTCCAAAAACTTTACAGCACTCAAAATAGACTTATCCAGTCACAAGAGAGCCAATCAATTGTTGCCTTCCAGCAACGCTTCTTATACAACCATTCAGCAAACATAATTAAGTATATTCCTTTGCACAAAAATTTTCATTTAATGAATGACATGGAATTTCAGTGAAATGCAATTCACTGAATTTATTCTGACCTGATTTACTTTGGAGGAATACCCATCAAAGGCTGATTCTGAAGCCCTCAGGCTTCAAACAAGTTTAAATATTCCTCTTATGGTCTATATCTATCTATCATCTAGCAATCATCTATCATCTGTCTGTCTGTCTAGCTGCCTAGCTGTCTAGCTATCCATTAATTTAACTAATTCATTACAGAAACCATATTTAAATGTTCACATTCTTCTCCCATATGATTAGAAGCTCAGTTGGAGAATGGGTATGGTATATTACCACCATGTCAACTATCTCTCCAGCTGCCAGAGTGATTTCTGTCAAAAAGAGCTTTCTGGTTCTAACTACATTTCCCAGGATTTAAAAGCCTGATTTTCCAGGCTTCTAAATCATGTGGAGAATTGCAAAGTCAGTTCTTCCACAGGAGCTCTGCGAGATCCATTGTATCTGAGGAGAATGGCAACGAAGCTGAAGGAAAATAAATAAAATCTGTAAATTCATCCCAGTTTTGCTGCCAAGATTGTAATCACAAAGGAAGAGGGAGAATCCTAAAGAAACTAGAGTTTGTTCAGGATTATTACTGATAATCAGACATTGTTTTTTCAATATCATCTTCAGTTTCTTTATATTCAGCTCTTTGCCGTAAAGTTATTGCTAATGATAGACCTCTCATGAAATGTCTGGGGTTTTTTATGTCCTCTTCCAGGGACCTTTAGAATAATAAGTACAAGAAGTTACGTTTTAACCTACGCTACACCTTTTTTTTTCTTCCAAAAATACATCTAGGCTTATTTTCCTTTTATTTATTAATGCCTTTCATTAGATTCTAAAGCTGTTTTGTGAAATATCTGAAGGCAACATGAAATTGTAAAGAAACTGTGTGTGTGTGGGGGGGAGAGAAAATAGAAAAAAAAATTAAAAATGGGAATACATTCTCCCAATTTAGAAACAGATTGTTAGGCAAAGAACCTCTGCTTCAATTAATAAAACAGATCATCCCATGCAGTATGCTGACATCAGACTTTGGAAACTTACTAAAAGAACTAATGTTTGAAATACATTAGCAGTACACGGGATCAGATAAATTGCTAAAAAATCTTTTAGAGCAAAAAGATGGAAAACTGACTGTCTTTCTTTCTTTATAATATAAATGTAAACATTCAGAATGGAGAAATTTTGGTGGCAATACAAGTGGCAGGCCTGAAGATCCAATAAAAAAGATGGCTTCCAGGCCAATTGGAAGTGGGGGTGTTACTTGGAATCCTGACAAGAGTTAAAAAGTGATGATTTTTTTCCTCCCTTCAAACACTCAGATGGATCTTACTTTAGGAGCCTTTTCTATTCTACCAAAAGCCATGTTCTCACTCAGTTTTCTTTGGGCACTGCTCTTCTTCCAGTCCTTGGCTGGTTAGAACTGATAGTTATCAATCATTAACCATCCAATGGAGCTTCATTGGTTTAGACCAGGGGTCACCAACCTTTCGGACCCCAGGGACAAATAAATTCATAATTTTAAATCCCGCGGATCACTAATAAGATCTGCCTAATGACTAACTGAGTGGGCATGGTTAGGTGGTCATGTGACTGGGTGGATGTGGCCAACTTGATGTCACTCACGTCAAGGGGTGCCTCACCAGCCTCTACTAGCCCCTCGCCTCCCAGCTCCTCCTTGCTTGCCCGCCCAGGCTCCTTAGGACCCCAAATGAAGCAGTTGTTGGAGCTAAGCAGCCACCATGAGAAAGAGTTGGCAAAGCAGCTGGCTGAGTTCAAATTGGATCTGACCAAGAAGGAGGCTCAGCAGAAACACCTCACTGAGGACTACAAGCATAGGCTTTCCAAGCAGAGGGAAGACCTGCGGGAATGCAAGGCCAGGTACCGGCACCTGGAGACTCAGCAGGCTGAGATGGTCAGCCAGTTCCAGGCCATGATGCAGTCCCACTGGAACAAGACCCTCCGGCTCTTTGCCACCAGTGGCACTTCCCTCCAGCCTTCACCCAAAGCCCCACACCAGGCGGCTGAAGCAGACCCCAAGTCGGAATTTCTGCCTCTCTCTGACCCACACACAAAGACCCCAAAGAGAAAGACTCTCTGCAGCAACACAAACATTCATTGCATGTATCCGGCCCAGGGGCCATAGTTTGAGGACCCCTGATTTAGTGCAATATAAAAAATGCAAATAATTTTTCTGCGGACCACCTAAATTTTCTTACAGACCACCAGTAGTCCACGGACCACCAGTTGGTGACCGCTGGTTTAGACTGCAATTGTATACAAACTAATTCCAGTTAAATCTAACTGAACCCAATGGGACTTACTTGGGACAGGTAAGCATGCAACCTCGTTTCAGTTTGTTTGGTCTCATCATCCATTGCTAGGATCCCAATGCCATCAGGTAGACAGAGTCAGGAGAAAGGAATGAGTGGTTTTATTTACTTATTGGTATATCATATCAACAAAGGAAAGGACAAAGAAGACAATATACTGATATACACTTATGACAACAATAATAAAGAAAGAAGGGGAGGAGGAAGGTGGGGGAAAGCCTGGAACATGACACTATAAGAGCTGTGATGGCGCAGTGGTTAGAATGCACTATTGCAGGCTAACTCTGCCCACTGCCAAGAGTTCGATCCTGAGGGGCTCAAGGTTGACTCAACCTTCCATCCTTCCAAGGTTGGTAAAATGAGGACCCAGATTGTTGGGGGCAATAGGCTCACTCTATAAACCGCTTAGAGAGGGATGCAAAGCATTATGAAGTGGTATATAAGTTTAAGTGCTGTTTCTAGTGCTATTGATATAAACTGGAATGTTAAGGATATTGTTGTGTTAACCAACCAGCAGAGTGTAGAGCACAGAGAAACGGTGCTGAGAGCGATGAATAAAATACAAACAAACTGGTTTATCAAAGTTTTTACTTTGTAGTGAAAAACAATCTCATAGTCTTTAAACAATCCAAGTCTTAGCCATTCAAATCAGTCCAGTGATACAAAAGTCTTTTTACCATACAAAACAGCAACAGATAATACATAGCAGCACATTCACGCTGGTAACAGATCACGATGGTAGCATATCCACACACGATGGTAGCATATCCATACATGATGGTAGCATATCATCAATGACTACATTTCAGCTCCCTTCTTAAATACAGTTACAACAGAGCTTATCCAATTAGGATACAATGACTCAGCATTACAATGACTCAGCATTACAATGACTCAGCAGTACTTCTTAAAGTCATATAATACATATTCATGTTAAAGTCATAGAACACATATTGTCCATATATTGCCTGGACAACCTATTAGGCATACACCATATCCTAACGTGGATAATCCCAACAAATGTGACCATATTGCTTGAAAGTCTTACTACCCTACTCTTCTGTCAAAAAAAGGAAAAAGCAAAGCAAAACAAAATAGCTAATTCAAATCATGTCAAACATCACGTCAACGCTTTATAGGCATGGCTCAATAATAATACAAAGGTTATCTGAACAATTTACAGCTGGGGCAGATATTTTTTTCTTCCAGTATTATATAATAATGTCTTTATCCAGACCTGAAAAAACTAATTGTGATCCCTTTATAGATTCCAAGTATTATGGCTATAACCAGTGGTGGAATTCAAATAATTTAACAACTGGTTCTCTGCCCTAATGATTTCTTCCAACAACCAGTTTGCCAAACTGCTCAGAAAGTTAACAACCGGTTCTCCTGAAGTCGTGCGAACTGGCTGATTCCCACCACTGGATATAACCCAAAAGAACATACGCATAGTTGAATATACAGCATTCAATCCAACTATATTTTAAAAATGGCTGATGCCAGGATGAAAAATTAATCAAATTAACATTAAAAGTAACATTTAATTAAATCTATTCAATTATATACAATTAATAAGATTGCTCCCCATGAATTTTTTGCATCACATTAATATTTATAAATCAGCTCATATGAGTTTTTAATGAGATAATAATGAAGCCATTATTTGAAAGGGTGGTCTATCTTAGTAAACAGCCACAAAATACTAACAATAGGTTGAACTGGATAACAATTTTTTACAACCCAGGCTAGACCTTCAAAAGACTTTACTGAAAAGAAGAAGGACAATATCTAGTTCTAGAACTACAGAACTATCAAGCTACAGAGCTATCAAGCTATCAGAACTACAGAGCTATCAAGCTATCTTCAAGCCTTAATTAACTTACCGGCCGTTGAAAATGCAAAAGAGATTTGAGACTGGAGTGCTTGGACTGGTTTGGGCTGTGAAAATTATTTTAAGAGAGTTTGAAAGTTGCTTGATTCATTTGTCACTCTTGGGTGACAGATGGGAGGGCAGGGCTTTAGTTCTGTTTGGAAGGAAGGATCATCGGGGAATGGGAAGGAAGGAAAGAAGATTTCCAATGCACCCTGCCAGTTTCCCACAAGGAAATTCAATTGGGAAGCTGGCAGAAAGCCAGAAGTCACTTCTATTGTGGGCAAACTGTTTTTCTGTTTAGGAAAGGAAATGTCTCTGAAGCAATGACCCAAAGTGTATGAATTCAGGTGTTCAAATAAGATCAGGGAGACTTAGGTACAAGTCCACCCTCAGCCATGGAAGCTTGCTAGACGCTGTTACTTTACTTTATGTGTTCTCCTTCCTTACAAGACTGTCTACCAAGATATCAGATAGGACAGGAATCTAGTGGTCCCGAAAAAATGCTTGAGGGCACAACGGTGCCTCTACATGAGGTCTTATTATGTGGTTATAGTTATAGTGCACACACTGCATATTATAATTATTCATAACAATAATACAGCAATAATTCTCATAAGATGTTAAAACAGTCAACTAGGTCACCTAGGAATCTATATTTATTTATACACCACTCCAGTCAGTATATCCTTTTGTTTGCTTGTTAGTTGTGAAGTCATGTCTGACCCATTGTAACCCCATGGACAATGTTCCTCCAGGCCTTCCTGTCCTCTACCATCCCCCAGAGACCATTTAAGCTCACGCCTACTGCTTCACTGACTCCATCCAACCACCTCGTTCTCTGTCGTCCCCTTCTTCTTTTGCCCTCAATTGTTCACAGCATTAGGCTCTTCCTTCTCATTAGGTGGCCAAAGTATTTCAGTTTCATTTTCAGGATCTGGCCTTCTAAAGAACAGTCAGGGTTGATCTCCTCTAGGACTGACCGGTTTGATCGCCTTGCAGTCCAAGGGACTGGTTTATTCTTGCAATCCAAGGTTTATCCTTACAAACCTCTAGTATCTCACTTGTTGTATGAGCTAAACACAGCTATTCATGCAACAATCTGTATGGAAAAGTTACAGAAATCCTACCAGAACAGGTGATATTTTCCTATAGAATCTGTAGTCAGGCTCTGTGACCCTTGAGTGATGTTGGCATATAGCATCACAGCTGTGTTTAGAGTACTTATTTCAGAAAGACTTGTAATCCCTAAAACATAATACAACACACAGTTACAATGAAATGGTATGTATTGCCCCCAAAGTGAATTCCCCGAGTCATGTCTTCAATTTCTATAATGCTTTCTCACATTTATTTTCCTTACAGTTGCTCTGTCAGAAGTTTTAGAAAGAGGATAGAGAGGATTTAAAATCCCACTGGAGATTATATAATACATTAAACATATACACTCAATGAAGGCAATTTACTGATTCTAACTGCGGGTTGAAAATTAGCTTGTATTTATATACAACATTATTTGTAATTCAAGTCCTTGATACATCCCAACTGTGGCTTGTCAGAATTTTAAAGGGCAAAAAGTGTAGACTGGCACAATATAGTGAGAATACTAGTCTCTAGCTCACTAATAAACGCAGAGATTAAGCAAAAGAAATATTTTTGGTATGTTTCATAGAAAAATGATAGGAATAATTTCATCAAGAAACTGACAACTGACACAATGGAATTACCTTGGAGGTATGAAGGCCCAATAAAGGAATTAGAATCAACAACATTTATATACTGTAATTGCAAAAGACAACACACAACAGTATCTGATAAAGAACTCTATTTCCTAAGTTCTAGTGATCCCTGAAACTGTGGTACGTATAACAGTTGGAAGTGCAAGTGGAAATAGTTGCAGCAAAACCTGCAAAACATTGAATGCAATGCAAAACATTGAATCTCTCACCTCTAGACAAATCTTCATGGAAGTCTCAAATGAAAGATTCCTTAATACATATCAAAATTCTGGCATGACTTCTATTCCTGTTCCTGTTTCTTTCTGCTGAAGCTGTAGTGTGGACTCTATGGATCTAATTTTGCATGAAGGCCAAGATCAAAAAATTTCTAAACTCAGCAGATATTTTTTCAGCAGAGACTTTCAGGACATTGCTGACATCAGTAACTGCCAAGTTTACTTTGGTCAGGTGGATCAAGATTCCCTTCTTGTTTGTGAAGTCAACGATTATGTCCTGGCATTCCTTAAACCACCTGTTAAAGAATTCCGAGATATAGGTAGATCTTGACTTGTAATTACAATTGGACCAGAATTTCCACCGCTAAATGATAAAGTGTTCATAAAGTGGGCTGTCACATGACTGCATTGCTTAGTGATGGAAATCCTGGCACACCCTGTTACCATTGTTACACCGGTCATTAGCCAAGGAGCCACCTAATCCACCTAATCCAAGCCATTCTGGGCTTGGTCCTTCCGAATCCCAATCCTCAGTAAACTAAGGGATTGCCTCCTCTTCAACTGCTTCCATCCATCTAACTCCCGTCCCATTTCTCCCCTTTTGTCTGCCCTTCCTTCAATTTATGGGGCTACAAGAAGCCCCTGAGTATAGTGAATTGCAAACCCAGAGCCCCACTGGAGGCCTCAGGTGATCCAGCCTGGCCCAGCAACCTGGTACAAAGAGGCTTCTCGGCATACCACAGCTTTGGGGCTGCAAGAAGCCCTGACTACAGTGCAGCAGAAAGTCCAGCCCTAGCCTAGCCCAGTAGCACTGTACATAGGGGATCTTTGGTGCACTGTAGCTCTGGGGCTGCAAGAAACCTCTGAGCTGCAGTACAAAGCCTAGCCCCAGACCAGTGGTGGGATTCAGCCAGTTCGCACCTATTCGGGAGAACTGGTTGTTTACTTTCTAAGCAGTTCGGAGAACCAGTTGTTGGAAGAAATCTGATTTTGTTTTTTTCCACTTTACAGGGCTAATCCTGTAAGGAAGGCAGGAAGGAAACATTCTGGTGTTGTTTCTAGCCTAATCTTTATTGCCCTGCTTACAGAAACTGCCTCTCTGGTTAACCCTTATTACACTGTAACAGCTAAGGCGAAGCACTCATTGACATGAGTGATGTTGAGTTGGCCATGCCCACATGGTCACATGATCACCGAGCCACACCTAGCCAGCTGGTCATTAGGGCAGAGAACCGGTTGTTAAATTATTTGAATCCCACCACTGCCCCAGACCCAATATGACCCAACACCTTAGTACAAAACCACAGTCACTTTACGAAGCTGTAGCTACACCAGCTCAGTTCCAACCACAATTGTCCTCGCCACCATACACTCTGTGCTGCACCATCACAGCCAACTTTCGCTGTCTTCTTAATCCCACTGCTGATATGGTATGCCTACCCTGGGTCTTCACAAAGCAGCTGGTGGCCACATGAAGCCATCTTCCCCAGGTCTTGCAAGGAAACCACCATGCATGACTTAGGGAAGAAAGACTTGTGCAGCCAGCAGCTCCCTCACAAGGGGCTAAGTTGGGCTTCCTTGGTCAGCAGTGGAAGCAAGAAGACAATAAAGGTCAGATAGAGTAACAGGGACTATGAAGTGCAGGAAGTCAAAAAGGTAGAGATGGGGGGGATAGGGAACTGGATGGAGTAGAAGTGCCCCAGTGGTCATAAGGGGCCTGGTGGCTCAGCAGACTGAAAGAATTGTGATTAACACCAGATGTCTGCAATTACTGTAAGTTCGAATCTCACCAGGCTCAAGGTTGACTCAGCCTTCCATCCTTTCTAAGGTAGGTGAATTGAGGACCCAGTTTGTGGGGGCAATAAGCTGACTTTGTATAAATATACAAAAAGTATGAAGGCTATTGCTTAACGCATTGTAAGCCGCCCTGAGTCTCCGGAGAAGGGCAGCATATAAATCAAATTTTAAAAAGTGCAAGCAGGATGCCAAACCAGTGTTGGGTTGTTACTGGTTCACGTCAAATCGGGTGAACCAGTAGCAGCTGCGATGGGAGGCTCCGCCCACCTGCCCGGATGCTTCTGCACATGTGCAGAAGCACCACGCACACACAGAAGTGCACATGTGCGCATGAGCGAAACGGTAGCGACGGGATTTGGAACCCGCCCCTGTGCCAAACACCTGGATTTTGGTCACAGGATTGCAGGAATGCTGCAACAGTAATTTCTAGAAGTGGTCATAAATCTCTTTGTTCAGCACCGCCATGACTTTGCACAATTACTTAATTAGCATGTAGGATGTTAGCACCCACCCGTCTCCTAGAAGAATGAAATATTTTGAGAAATATTAAAAAGGCAGATTTTATTTCCCTGGATGAGAAATGGAGAAACATGCTCTTGGAAAGCAGCCCCCACCTTTCTTAATAGCCCTCAGCAGATGCCAGCACTTAAAAGATAAAGAGATAGCTAGCTCTATTCATAAGCAAATACCCTTACCCAAGATCCAACAAAGGTAGGATTAGCCCTCAGCCACTATAGGAATTGCCCAATGCCCCTTCATTGCATCAGCAGTCCAAACTTCAACCAAACTTAGCTCAGACAAACTCCTAGGATTTGTACATGGCCCCATGGGAATCTGACAACAGCCAATAAAATACATGTTCTTGAACAGGAAGCTTATGTGCAAAGACCAAGAGAAGGTATAAATACCCCCCCACACTCTCAACTCCATGTGGTCAGCTACACCAGAACTACAAACACATGGTTCTGTTCATCAATAAATGGACCTTCTTTCCAATCAGCCTCCAGCCTCCATTTTGTGTCCAGTGCCCTTCTCCCGGCTTGGAACTGAAGCAGATAGATATTTCTTCTAACAAGTGATTGTAAATTGAGGACTATGAGTAGAACACCAGGTTCTTGCGTCCCTTATTGTGGATTTCTGGCCTTTCCAGCTGATAAAGTTGTGGTCTTAAGTGCAGTGGGTGTCAAATACAGCTGCAAGGGAATAGAATCAGTCTCCGTGGTACAGAAAAGCAATCTACATCACTAAAATCAAAGCTCTCAGTGCCAAAGGAGGAGCATTTGTTTGGCAGCTGCATCAAGGCTTTTAAGGGGGAAAAAAAACAATTACATAGCGGAACAGGAATTCGGCTGAAAGAAATACACTAAATGAAGCGAAGAGCACAACTG